TCAAGCACCACCTGCACGACCCTCAAGCACCACCTACACGACCCTCAAGCACCACCTACACGACCCTCAAGCACCACCTACACGACCCTCAAGCACCACCTACACGACCCTCAAGCCCCACCTACACGACCCTCAAGCACCACCTACACGACCCTCAAGCACCACCTACACGACCCTCAAGCACCACCTACACGAACCTCAAGCACCACCTACACGACCCTCAAGCACCACCTACACGACCCTCAAGCACCACCTACACGAACCTCAAGCACCACAATACATCCGCCTGCATCAGCCTCAAACAGCAATGCAGTTGACGTTCTGATATGATGCAACACTGCACGGTAAGTTTGGAAACAGAAATTCCAAACCCCCCCTCTAAAAAAAAAAGAGAGACTGGGAATGCACTATGTTGCACTACACCTGAAATGACATGTCTATAATCATTGCAGACATAACCTGTTAGGTTGAGAGAGAGAGAGAGAGAGAGAGAGAGAGAGAGAGAGAGAGAGAGAGAGAGAGAGAGAGAGAGAGAGAGAGAGAGAAATATCAGTAGCAAGAGAAGCGTTATCTTGAGAGGTTATCTTGAGATGATTTCGAGGCTTTTAGTGTCCCCGCGGCCCGGTCCTCGACCACGCCTCCACCCCCAGGAAGCAGCCCGTGACAGCTAACTAACACCCAGGTACCTATTTTACTGCTAGGTAACAGGGGCATAGGGTGAAAGAAACTCTGGCCATTGTTTCTCGCCGGCGCCTGGAATCGAACCCAGGACCACAGGATCACAAGTCCAGCGTGCTGTCCGCTCGGCCGACCGGCTCCTCAGCGTAGAAACAAGAGCGTAACAACAACAATAACCAGAAGGTGAAGGACAGTCAGCAGGGAAAGGGTTAAGGCCTCACAAAAACACGTGTCGATTGTTCTTGTTTCAGATTTAGCTACTCAGAAGGAAGTGTCCATGTAGCACGGGCTATGGTGAGCCCCGTGAGTGGGTATGCGTATTTATATATGTCAGCCCGACACCTATCCTTACTTAACCTAACCTAACCTTACCTAACCTAACCTTAACCTAACCTAACCTAACTTAACCTAACCTAACCTAACTTAACCTAGCCTAGCCTAGCCTAGCCTAACCTAACCTAACCTAGCCTAGCCTAGCCTAACCTTAACCTAACCTAACCTAACCTTAACCCTAACCTAACCTTAACCTAACCTAACCTAGTCTAACCTTAACCAAACCTAACCTAACCTAACTACCTAACCTTCCCTCATAACCAATGGATAAAGTTTCTTTAGGTTGTTAGAAAGCTCGCCCGATAAAGAGGCCAACGACACATGCTACAAATACTGTGTTGTGATACTAAACAGGTTGTAACGCAATAGTGATTTGTTGCAAATATATGAATTCATTGCAATTTAAGGCTACTGTTGCCAATTACTAGTCAACTGTTGCCATGGAACACTATAATGGTACAAATGAAATACTGAACTGTTGCAAATCAATGCTGAACTGTTGCAAATCAATGCTGAATTGTTGCAAATCAATGCTGAACTGTTGCAAATCAATGCTGAACTGTAGCAAATCAATGCTGAATTATTGCAAATCAATGCTGAATTGTTGCAAATCAATGCTGAACTGTTGCAAATCAGTGCTGAACTGTTGCAAATCAATGCTGAACTGTTGCAAATCAATGCTGAACTGTTGCAAATCAATGCTGAATTGTTGCAAATCAATGCTGAACTGTTGCAAACCAATGCTGAATTATTGCAAATCAATGCTGAACTGTTGCAAATCAATACTGAACTGTTGCAAATCAATACTGAATTGTTGCAAATCAATACTGAATTGTTGCAAATCAATGCTGAACGGTTGCAAATCAATGCTGAATTGTTGCAAATCAATGCTGAACTGTTGCAAATCAATACTGAACGGTTACAAACCAATACTGAACGGTTACAAACCAATACTGAACGGTTACAAACCAATACTGAACGGTTACAAACCAATACTGAACGGTTACAAACCAATACTGAAATAGGTCAAGCCAAAGCTACAATTCAACTCGCTGGAAAAAAGGTCGACCCCCCCCCCTCTCACATCTGTTGTTGTTGTTATTGTTTAAGATTCAGCTGGCGGAGGAGGTGTAACAAACTAGGCTGTTGTAAGAATTATTCCAGAAGGTTCCAGAAGTTTCGGGTAGGGACCTGACCTCTCAACACACATTCCCCTGGGAATTAGCAGGTCTGAGTCACAAATGGCGGGCGTCTCTGTTCATAGTTGCGTATAATGAATCATCCTATAGTATTCAGTAAGTTAGAGAAATTAGCCTTTATTCATTTTGTATTAAAATTGTATTGTATAATAGTACTGGGTACAACATCAAGAGTATTCTAATTATTGAGTTGTCACCATCAGTGACGTCACGAATCAGATCTAAGTTGTAAGGCGGAGTGACCGGCGGTCATAGGTCATCAGGGTTGACATGTCTACTATTTCTCAAAGTTCAATTAACCATTTTGGGGATCGGGAACAGCTTTGCCGTTAGATGCTTGTGTAATTTAATTTCAGTAAAATAATTCAACCAGTCTGGATCAATTAAGTACAACAGAGGTTAATTGTTATAACTTAAACCTGGCTAAGTAACTTGGTAAAACTTAGACTATGCGGAACAATACAATGCTCTAGTCTGGGCTAGACCACACGAGGAAGAGATCAGTGTGGACACAAGATCAACTGGGAGAGGTCAACCATCTTACCTCTCCCCAAGACCAGCCCAACATCTTTAGCTGGTAAAACATAGAGGTATAGTTGCTATTTGTTATTTATAGGGATAGTCTTCTCATTGCCGTTCAGGTCAAGTAGGGAGTGTTAAAGTGACAGGGAGTGAACATATTTAGATTTTGTTTTAGTTTTCTTTTAATAAATTAATTAGTTAATAAATTGCATTTTTATTATTTCCATGTGTTTGTTATATGTACAGTATATGAACTTGTCCTGGTCACGTGGTCCACACGAGGCAGAGTTGGATTGGGCGCCGATTCTAACATCGAATCGGAATTCATCATTCCCGTGTAATTAATTCCACACTTAAGAACTCTCAAGGTCATCGGTTATAGTGGGGATCAAGCCCCAAGTTTGATTAATTAGCATGATCGATCCAGACCTCGATCATTGCTCAGTGTTACTGGTCTGGTGGTGGCAGCGGAGGCGACTCTAGGGTTTTACTCAAAGCCTAGGTCACGTCATACTGGTTGTAGAATCCTAAGTCGGTCAATCGTCTTAGGACCACGTGGCGTGGAGTTGGCTTTGGTAAAAGTTTTGGAGTCCCTTGTAGAGAATAAAGAGTAAGAATACGGGTAGAGGGGAAGAAGAAGGAAAGATCAGTAGAGAAACCTCTACCCGTGTTACAGAGCGGGGCAAGTAGCACGGGCTATGGTGAGCCCGTAGTGGACTTACCTGGCACAGGAGCGGGGCAAGTAGCACGGGCTATGGTGAGCCCGTAGTGGACTTACCTGGCACAGGAGCGGGGCAAGTAGCACGGGCTATGGTGAGCCCGTAGTGGACTTACCTGCCACAGGAGCGGGGCAAGTAGCACGGGCTATAGTGAGCCCGTAGTGGACTTACCTGGCACAGGAGCGGGGCAAGTAGCACGGGCTATGGTGAGCCCGTAGTGGACTTACCTGCCACAGGAGCGGGGCAAGTAGCACGGTCTATGGTGAGCCCGTAGTCACATCTGCTACAACATAAGCGCCTATTGTTCTTATTGTGTTCTATCCCCCCTCTTGAGAATAGGGAGACAGGGGTAAGAAGAGAGAAGAGAAAGAGAAAAGGAGATGACAAGAATAGGAGAGGTGACTATTGGGATAATTCAATTTCTTTCTTTATTGTGCACCCTATACCCAGGGCGGTAGTGGGAAGGGTTACAGAGACACGTCAGGGGTTCAGCAACTATTGGGCCAAGAGGGAAAGGACTTGTGGCCAGAGAAATGGAAGGGGGTGGAAGTACAAGATAAGAAAACGGGAAGATGGACAAGGCGACAAGTGAGATGAGAAAGAAAATGGGAAATGGGCGTCTGATGAGGACAGAGCAAAGAGGTAGTAATGGAGAGAGTGAGAGAAGGAGAGAGAGAGAGAGAGAGAGAGAGAGAGAGAGAGAGAGAGAGAGAGAGAGAGAGAGAGAGAGTGAGTGAGTGAGTGAGAGAGAGAGAGAGAGAGAGAGAGAGAGAGAGAGAGAGAGAGAGAGAGAGAGAGAGAGAGAAGAAGCAGAAATGCATGCAGTCTTGTGTTACATTAAACAGGTTCTCCGTCACGGGGGGGGAGGGGAAGTGAGGGAGAGGAGGGGGAGGAAGAGAGAGGGAGGCAGAGGGGAGAGAGAGAAAGAGAGAGAAGAGAGAGAGAGAGAGAGGGAAAGAGAGGGAAGGGGAAAAGGACATTTCAACACTTGATCAATTCCTCCACACTTGGTTCCTCCTAAGCTGGACCTCAGCACCCAGGACTCAGCACACAAGACTCAGCACCCAGGACTCACCTCAGCACCCAGGACTCAGCACCCAGGACTCACCTCAGCACCCAGGACTCAGCACCCAGGACTCACCTCAGCACCCAGGACTCACCTCAGCACCCAGGACTCAGCACCCAGGACTCAGCACCTAGGACTCACCTCAGCACCCAGGACTCAGCACCCAGGACTCACCTCAAGAACTAGTCACCAGTATTGACCCGCACGTTAACAATCACATTGTACTGATCCTGTGGAAGAAAGAATTGTGTTGTCAGTCACCTGTGGTTCACGTTTTCTATTTAGCCTACTTGTACAAGTTCACGTTTTCTATTTAGCCTACTTGTACAAGTTCACGTTTTCTATTTAGCCTACTTGTACAAGTTCACGTTTTCTAATTAGTCTATGTGTACAAGTTCACGTTTTCTAATTAGTCTATGTGTACAAGTTCACGTTTTCTAATTAGTCTATGTGTACAAGTTCACGTTTTCTAATTAGTCTATGTGTACAAGTTCACGTTTTCTAATTAGTCCACGTGGACAAGTTCACGTTTTCTAATTAGTCTACGTATACAAATTCACGTTTTCTAATTAGTCTATGTGTACAAGTTCACGTTTTCTAATTAGTCTATGTGTACAAGTTCACGTTTTCTAATTAACCTACGTGTACAAGTTCACGTTTTCTAATTAGTCCACGTGTACAAGTTCACGTTTTCTAATTAGTCTATGTGTACAAGTTCACGTTTTCTAATTAACCTACATGTACAAGTTCACGTTTTCTAATTAGTCCACGTGTACAAGTTCACGTTTTCTAATTAGTCTATGTGTACAAGTTCACGTTTTCTAATTAGTCTACGTACACTAGATGAGGTGTACTAATGCTACTTAAAGGAAGCAGAGGACAGATTACATTAGTTACACCCAATAATATAACAATATAACATATAAGAGAATTTAACATAAATTAAGACATGACAAACACAGCATTGTACAGGTTTAAAACATGTTGTTATCAGGAAGTTTTACTGATATACGCAGACCCCCTCCCAGGTAAGGTCCCCCATCTCCCAGGTAAGGTCCCCCATCTCCCAGGTAAGGCCCCCATCTCCCAGGTAAGGTCCCCCATCTCCCAGGTAAGGCTCCCATCTCCCAGGTAAGGTCCCCCATCTCCCAGGTAAGGCCCCCATCTCCCAGGTAAGGTCCCCCCATCTCCCAGGTAAGGTCCCCCATCTCCCAGGTAAGGCCCCCATCTCCCAGGTAAGGTCCCCCATCTCCCAGGTAAGGTCCCCCATCTCCCAGGTAAGGCCCCCATCTCCCAGGTAAGGTCCCCCATCTCCCAGGTAAGGCCCCCATCTCCCAGGTAAGGCCCCCATCTCCCAGGTAAGGTCCCCCATCCCCCAGGTAAGGTCCCCCATCTCCCAGGTAAGGTCCCCCATCTCCCAGGTAAGGCCCCCATCTCCCAGGTAAGGTCCCCCATCCCCCAGGTAAGGCCCCCCATCTCCCAGGTAAGGCCCCCATCTCCCAGGTAAGGTCCCCCATCTCCCAGGTAAGGCCCCCATCTCCCAGGTAAGGTCCCCCATCTCCCAGGTAAGGTCCCCATCTCCCAGGTAAGGCCTCCATCTCCCAGGTAAGGTCCCCCATCTCCCAGGTAAGGTCCCCATCTCCCAGTAAGGTCCCCCATCTCCCAGGTAAGGTCCCCCATCTCCCAGGTAAGGCCTCCATCTCCCAGGTAAGGCCCCCATCTCCCAGGTAAGGTCCCCCATCTCCCAGGTAAGGCCCCCCATCTCCCAGGTAAGGTCCCCCATCTCCCAGGTAAGGCCCCCATCTCCCAGGTAAGGCCCCCATCTCCCAGGTAAGGTCCCCCATCCCCCAGGTAAGGTCCCCATCTCCCAGGTAAGGCCCCCATCTCCCAGGTAAGGCTCCCTCTCCCAGGTAAGGCCCCCATCTCCCAGGTAAGGTCCCCATCTCCCAGGTAAGGCTCCCATCTCCCAGGTAAGGCCCCCATCTCCCAGGTAAGGCCCCCATCTCCCAGGTAAGGCCCCCATCTCCCAGGTAAGGTCCCCCATCTCCCAGGTAAGGCTCTCATCTCCCAGGTAAGGCTCTCATCTCCCAGGTAAGGCTCTCATCTCCCAGGTAAGGTCCCCATCTCCCAGGTAAGGCCCCCATCTCCCAGGTAAGGCCCCATCTCCCAGGTAAGGCCCCCATCTCCCAGGTAAGGGCCCCATCTCCCAGGTAAGGTCCCCCATCTCCCAGGTAAGGCCACCATCTCCCAGGTAAGGCCCCCATCTCCCAGGTAAGGTCCCCCATCTCCCAGGTAAGGCCCCCCATCTCCCAGGTAAGGCCCCCATCTCCCAGGTAAGGTCCCCCATCTCCCAGGTAAGGCCCCCATCTCCCAGGTAAGGCCCCCATCTCCCAGGTAAGGCCCCCATCTCCCAGGTAAGGTCCCCATCTCCCAGGTAAGGCCCCCATCTCCCAGGTAAGGCCCCCATCTCCCAGGTAAGGCTCCCATCTCCCAGGTAAGGCTCTCATCTCCCAGGTAAGGCCACCATCTCCCAGGTAAGGTCCCCCATCTCCCAGGTAAGGTCCCCATCTCCCAGGTAAGGCCCCCCATCTCCCAGGTAAGGCCCCCATCTCCCAGGTAAGGTCCCCCATCCCCCAGGTAAGGTCCCCATCTCCCAGGTAAGGCCCCCATCTCCCAGGTAAGGCTCCCATCTCCCAGGTAAGGCCCCCATCTCCCAGGTAAGGCCCCCATCTCCCAGGTAAGGTCCCCATCTCCCAGGTAAGGCCCCCATCTCCCAGGTAAGGCCCCCATCTCCCAGGTAAGGCCCCCATCTCCCAGGTAAGGGCCCCATCTCCCAGGTAAGGCCCCCATCTCCCAGGTAAGGTCCCCATCTCCCAGGTAAGGTCACCATCTCCCAGGTAAGGCCCCCATCTCCCAGGTAAGGGCCCCATCTCCCAGGTAAGGCCCCCATCTCCCAGGTAAGGTCCCCATCTCCCAGGTAAGGCCCCCATCTCCCAGGTAAGGTCCCCATCTCCCAGGTAAGGTCCACCATCTCCCAGGTAAGGCCCCCATCTCCCAGGTAAGGTCCCCATCTCCCAGGTAAGGTCACCATCTCCCAGGTAAGGTCCCCCATCTCCCAGTAAGGTCCCCATCTCCCAGGTAAGGTCCCCATCTCCCAGGTAAGGTCCCCATCTCCCAGGTAAGGTCCCCCATCTCCCAGGTAAGGTCCCCCATCTCCCAGGTAAGGCTCTCATCTCCCAGGTAAGGTCCCCATCTCCCAGGTAAGGCCCCCATCTCCCAGGTAAGGTCCCCCATCTCCCAGGTAAGGCCCCCATCTCCCAGGTAAGGTCCCCCATCTCCCAGGTAAGGCCCCCATCTCCCAGGTAAGGTCCCCATCTCCCAGGTAAGGCTCCCATCTCCCAGGTAAGGTCCCCCATCTCCCAGGTAAGGGCCCCCCCATCTCCCAGGTAAGGGCCCCTCTCCCAGGTAAGGTCCCCCTCTCCCAGGTAAGGCTCCCATCTCCCAGGTAAGGTCCCCCATCTCCCAGGTAAGGTCACCATCTCCCAGGTAAGGTCCCCATCTCCCAGGTAAGGTCCCCCATCTCCCAGGTAAGGGCCCCATCTCCCAGGTAAGGGCCCCTACCTCCCAGGTAAGGCCCCCCTCCCTCACAAAACCATACCCCCTCCCTCTCTCCTGGGAGAGGGAGGGGGTATTACTGGGCAAAACAACAAGCAATAATCTACTCCCCTCGTTAGAGAGAGAGAGAGAGAGAGAGAGAGAGAGAGAGAGAGAGAGAGAGAGAGAGAGAGAGAGAGAGAGAGAGAGAGAGAGAGAGAGAGAGAGACAGAGAGAGAGAACCAGCCAGCCACCCCAACCCAGGGCCCATGACTCTAATCATCACATGATCGACAAAACTATTGTTGCTGGCAAACGCACCCCTCCCCCCCCCACCCCCCAAATCCCACTAGCCCTGAATCCTACAGTTCCTATAACAACCCAATTCCCACTTGAAGACGCCATCTTCGTTATCCTCTCAGTAACGCCAAAATAAACCAGTGAGAGAGGGGAGAGCGCCCACGCCCACGCCCGACGCCCGCAAAGGGATTCCGTTTCATTCCTACGTGTAAAAGTAAGCAGAAGGTTTCACCTGTTTCTATGCCCCCTCGTCTGTGTCTCTATTCCCCTTCTGCGTCATATTTGATGTTTCTCCTCTGTGTCTCTTCCCCTTCTGCGTCATCCATGCCCAATCACTTCCATTCCTCCTCCTCCTCTTCTCTACTATAGCCCCCTCACATCACCTATTTCTCCTATCACTCTTTGACCTTTTTTGCTCCAATGATGCTCATTTCACCCCCTTTTATTTTCTCTTTTTATAAAAATAATAAATAATATAAAAATTATTATATTTCCAATAGCTTTATATATTTTGGTCCTTAGCTTGATATATATATATATATATATATATATATATATATATATATATATATATATATATATATATATATATAGCGCCATGGGAAAGCGCCAAGCCAATTACGACTATATAACACTGGGAAGGGGTCAGGATACGGATTTGGGATGGGACGGAGGGAAGGAATGGCGTCCAACCACTTGTGGACGGTCGAGGGATTGAACGCCGACCTGCATGAAGCGAGTCCGTCGCTCAACCAAATGGTTGGACCCGAGGCCCGGTCCTCGACCAGGCCTCCTTTCCCTAGGAAGCAACCCGTGACAGCTGACTAACACCCAGGTACCTATTTTACTGCTAGGTAACAGGGGGGCATCAGGGTGAAAGAAACTCTGCCCATTGTTTCTCGCCGGCACCCGGGATCGAACCCGGGACCACAGGATCACGCGTCCAGTGTTCTGTCCGCTCAGCCACCGGCTCTCTCTCTCTCTGTCTCTGTCTCTGTCTCTGTCTCTCTCTCTCTCTCTCTCTCTCTCTCTCTCTCTCTCTCTCTCTCTCTCTCTCTCTCTCTCTGTCTCTGTCTCTGTCTCTGTCTCTCTCTCTCCCTCACTCTCCCCCTCCCTCTCCCTCACTCTCCCCTCCTACCCTCTATCCATTCCTCCCTCGTCCACTCCCCTCTCTTGCTGGCACTGAATGGCATCTCCCCAGTGTGGAGCCACCGAAGCCGTCCGTATCCATGCGACGTTTTAAACCCAGTTAAACTTCTCTCTCACCTTCTCGCTCACTCTCTCACTTTCACGCATTTTCACTCTCTCATTCTCACTCGTGTGTTTGTTCTTGTGT